TACATCCAGAGAGCACTGTGGACTCAAACAATGAAGGATCTGGACCAAACTTGGCATGAATACTCCATATGCCCAAATATGAACACAGATTAAGTTTGAGGGTAAACAGACCTTGACATTTGGGAGTTGTAGTTACTGGGATTTATAGTTCACCTACAATCAAAGAGCATGCAGAACCCCATCAACGATATTGGGACAAACTTCCCACACAGAAGTACCATGACCAACAGAAAATACTGTGTTTTCTCATGGTCTTTGGTGACCCCTCTGACACCCTCTCACAACTCCCCCAGGGGTCCCAACCTCCAGGTTGAGAAATGCTGCCTTAAGGCCATCCAGTCCAACTCCCTTCACCAGGGCAAGAAAACATAATCAAATCCCTCCTAACAAAGAACCATCCAGCCATAGATATAGATAGATCTATATGATTCACACACATATATGCATATGACGGATATAGTATCATCGATTTGAAAGGGACCCCTGAAGAAGGACAATTATATGCAGGCAAACCAGACAATCTCGACATCAACACTGACAAAGAAACAACAAGAAATACTGTTTACCCACAAGCAAAAAGAAATTATATATATTAGAAACCAACACTTTCTCGTTACTTTATTTTCCAGATCACCAGACTGGGCCACAGCAATGCCTAGCAGAGGATGGCACTTATATATATAGAATCATAGAATCAAAGAGTTGGAAGAGACCTCATGGGCCATCCAGTCCAACCCCATTCTGCCAAGAAGCAGGAATATTGCATTGAAATCACCCCTGACAGATGGCCATCCAACCTCTGTTTAAAAGCTTCCAAAGAAGGAGCCTCCACCACACTCTGGGGCAGAGAGTATATACACACACATACACACACACACACAAAATAGTTGGAGACAGTATACCATTCAAATCAAAAAACCTCATGGCTAACAAATGCACATATTTTTTCAAGGCACTGCTGTTGTTCCTTTAGCATTTTCCCCCAAATAATGCATTCTCCGATTTGTCCACTAGATGGCACTACATGCCATGGAGATGAACTCAGGTATTAGTAAATGCATGCCATATGCCAGCAAATATGGAAAACACAAGATTGGCCATCAGACTGGAAAAAATCAACTTATATCCCCATACCAAAAAAGGGAAATGCGAAAGACTGCTCCAACTTCCGTACAGTGGCCCTTATTTCTCATGCCAGTAAGGTAATGCTCAAGATCCTGCAAGGAAGACTCCAACAAGACATGGAGCGAGAGTTGCCAGATGTTCAATCTGGGTTTAGAAAAGGCAGAGGAACGAGAGACCAGATTGCCAATATCCGCTGGATAATGGAGAAAGGCAGGGAGTAGAAAAACATCTATTTCTGCTTCATTGACTATTCTAAAGCCTTTGACGGTGTGGATCATAATAAATTGTGGCAAGTTCTTGGTGGTATGGGGATACCAAGTCACCTTGTCTCTCTCCTGAGGAATCTGTACAAGGACCAAGTAGCAACAGTCAGAACTGACCATGGAACAACAGACTGGTTCAAGATTGGGAAAGGCGTACGGCAAGGCTGCATACTCTCACCCAACCTTTTTAACTTGTATGCAGAACACATCATGCGATGTGCGGGGCTTGATGAATGCAAATCTGGGGTGAAAATTGCTGGAAGAAACATTAACAACCTCAGATATGCAGATGACACCACTCTGATGGCCGAAAGCCAGGAGGAGCCGAGGAGCCTTCTAATCAAGGTGAAAGAAGAAAGCGGAAAAGCTGGCTTGCAGCTAAACATAAAAAAAAAAACCATGATTATGGCAACAAGAATGATTGACAACTGGGAAATAGAGGGAGAAAATGTGGAGGCCGTGACAGACTTTGTATTTCTAGGTGCAAAGATTACTGCAGATGCAGACTGTGGCCAGGAAATCAGAAGACGCTTCCTTCTTGGGAGGAGAGCAATGTCCAATCTCGATAAAATAGTGAAGAGTAGAGACATCACACTGGCAACAAAGATCCAGCTAGTCAAAGCCATGGTATTCCCTGTAGTCACCTACGGATGTGAGAGCTGGACCTTAGGGAAGGCTGAGCGAAGGAAGATCGATGCTTTTGAGCTGTGGTGTTGGAGTAAAGTGCTGAGAGTGCCTTGGACTGCGAGAAGATCCAACCAGTCCATCCTCCAGGAAATAAAGCCCGACTGCTCACTGGAGGGAAAGATACTAGAGACAAAGTTGAAGTACTTTGGCCACATCATGAGGACAGGAAAGCCTAGAGAAGACAATTATGGTCACGAAGAGTCAGAAAAAGGAAGAGGGGCCGACCAAGGGCAAGATGGATGGATGGCATCCTTGAAGTGACTGGATAGACCTTGAAGGAGCTGGGGGTGGTGACGGCCGACAGGGAGCTCTGGCGTGGGCTGGTCCATGAGGTCACGAAGAGTCGGAGACTCTGAACGAATGAACAACAACTACCATAAGGTATAATATCAATAATCGAAACAATTTTTCCAATTTTCGTAATTATTTTCATAATTTCGTAATTATATTTTATAATATACAATTATAATATAATATAATATTATAATATTAATATAATATAAATTATATATTATATTATATTACATTATGTTATTATAATACTATTATATTATAGTATTGCATATTATATTATTATATTATATATTATATTATTATTCTATTATATTATAATTGTATATATATAATAAATATTATTTATAAAGATAAATAATGAATACATATTTTATATATAATATATATTAGTATAATCATAATATAGTATTTGTATTAATATAATATATTATATTTATATATATTATAGTATATATAAATAAATATATATTTATATATAATATATAATAAAATTATTATTTATAATAATAATAAATAAATGAAAATAGTGTATATATATAATACTATTAATTTAGAAAAGCAATTTATTACTATTATTCTCCTTTCTACTAAAGAAAACTTAAATCAAGTATATTTTATATATAATATATATTAGTATAATCCTAATATAGTATTCGTATTAATATATTATATTAATATACAGCCTGAAAAAACCTACAACCCTATAATTATATATTTATATATAATATATAAGAAAGCTTAAATAAAGTATTATATTTTATATATAATATATATTACCATAATCCTTATATAGTATTCGTATTAATATATTATATTTATATATTATAGTATATATAATTATATATTTATATATATTATAGTATATATAATTATATATTTATATATAATATATATAATAAAATTATTATTTATAAAAATAAATAATACATAAATAAACTAATATAGTATACATATTTTATATATAATATATATTAGTATAATACTAATACTAATAATATAGAAAAGCAATTGATTGCTATTATTCTGCTTTCCACTAAAGGAAACTTAAATAAAGTATTATATTTTATATATAATATATATTAGCATAATCCTAATATAGTATTTGTATTAATATATTATATTTATATATTATAGTATATATAATTATATATTTATATATAATATATAATATATAATAAAATTATTATTTATAAAAATAAATAATAATAAATAAACTAATATAGTATATATATATTACATAATATATATTAATATAACACTAATAATATAGAAAACCAATTTATTGTTATTATTCTGCTTTCCACTAAAGGAAACTTAAAGTATTATATTTTTATAAATAATATATATTAGTATAATCCTAGCATTAATATATAATAAAATTACTATTTATTAAAATGAATAATACATAAATAAACTAATATAGTATACATATTTTATATATAATATATATTAGTATAATATTAATACTAATAATATAGAAAAGCAATTTAATGCTATCATTCTGCTTTCCACTAAAGGAAACTTAAATAAAGTATTATATTTTTATATAATATATATTAGTATAATCCTAATATAGTATTCATATTAATATATTATATTTATATATTATAGTATATATAATTATATATTTATATATAATATATAATAAAATTATTATTTATAAAAATAAATAAATAATAAATTAAGTAATATAGTATATATATTATATAATATATATTAATATAATACTAAAAATATAGAAAAGCAATTTAATGCTATTATTCTGCTTTCCAGTAAAGAAAACTTAAATAAAGTATTATATTTTATATATAATATATATTAGCATAATCCTAATATCCTAATCCTAATATAGTATAGTCGCCTACGGGCTGAGAACAGCGGTATATAAATAAAGTAAATAAATAAATAGTATTCGTATTAATATATTATATTTATATATTATAGTATATATAATTATATATTTATATATAATATATAATAAAATTATTATTTATAATAATAAACAAACTAAAATAGTGTGTGTATATATATATATATATATATGAATATAATACTATTAATATAGAAAAGCAATTTATTACTATTATTCTGCTTTCCACTAAAGGAAACTTAAATAAAGTATTATATTATATATATTATATATGTTAATATAATCCTAGTATTAATATAATATAAAAATATTTTCAATAAAGGTAAATAATGAATAAATAAACTAATATAGTATACATATTTTACATTATAATAATACTAAAAATATAGAAAAGCAATTGATTGCTATTATTCTGCTTTTTACTAAAGAAAACTTAGAACAACAACTAATTTAACTATTAAAATGTATATTATAGAATAGTTTCTAATACCACAACTAATAATAATAATATAAAAGCAATTAATTGTTATAAAAGCAATTATTATTATTATTATTATTATTATTCTTATTATTATTATTATTATTATTCTGCTTTCCACTCCTAAAGAGAAAACTCAAAATGTTTTTCCCCCTAAAAGACTACATTTCCCATCATGCTATAGGGCTTTCCTCTGGGAACGACGGCGGCCGCGAAGGGACTAAAGAAAAAGAGATTCCAAGTGGCGCGCGCGCGCTCTCGGCTAGTCCCCGGGAATAGGGGCGTGGCCTCTCCTAGCCACGCCCCCTCCTGCTAGGCTCTGCTGCTTTGCTGGCTTCCCACAAAGTCGGAAGCAGAGGAGAAAGAAGGAAGGGAAGAAGGAAGGAAGGAAGGAAGGAAGACATGGGGGGAGACTCCAAAGTCAAGGTGGCCGTCAGGGTCCGGCCCATGAACAGGAGGGGTGAGTTGGGGGGAAAAATACAGAAATTCAATATATATTTATATATGATTTTGCAATGTTTGCAAACATTTTGGGGCTTGGAATGCATTGCACAAGCATTTGGGGGTGCATTTTGCCAGTATCCCTCCCTTCTATGGGATTTATATGCCTTTTTGTGGGGGTGAGAATATATTTGGGGGGGGGTTGAAGCATTTTTATGGGGTTTAGAGGACATTTGGGTGAGATTTTGCCAGTATTTCTACTATCTATGGGATTTTAAATCATTGTTATAGGGATAATATGATATTTGGAGGTGCATTTTGCAAATATTCATGCTTTCTATGAAGTTTTGAGCATTTTTATAGAAGTAAGAGGACATTTGGAAGTGATTTTTGACAGTATTTCTTTTTTTTCTTTGGAATTTTAAAGCATTTTTATAGGAATAAGATGATATTTGGGAGGTGTTTTGCTAGTATTCCTGCTTTCTATGGGGGTTTAAGCACTTTTATGGGGGTTAGAGGACATTTGGGGTGAGATTTTGCCAATATTTCTGCTTTTTATGGGATTTTAAAGCATTTTTATAGAGATAACAGGGGATTTGGAGGTGTATTTTGCCAATATTCCTGCTTTCTATGGGGTTTTAAGCACTTTTATGGGGGTTAGAGGACATTTGGGGTGAGATTTTGCCAGTATTCCTGCTTTTTATGGGATTTTAAAGCATTTTTATAGAGATAACAGGGGATTTGGAGGTGTATTTTGCCAATATTCCTGCTTTCTATGGGGTTTTAAGCACTTTTATGGGGGTTAGAGGACATTTGGGGTGAGATTTTGCCAGTATTCCTGCTTTTTATGGGATTTTAAAGCATTTTTATAGAGATAACAGATGATAGCGGGGTACAAATAAAGATTATTATTATTTGGGGGTGCATTTGCCAATATTCCTGCTTTCTATGGGTTTTTTATGGAAGTAAGAGGACATTTGGGGGTGCATTTTGCCAATATTCCTGTTTTCTATGAGGTTTTAAGCACTTCTATGGGGGTTAGAGGACATTTGGGGTGAGATTTTGCCAGTATTCCTGCTTTTTATGGGATTTTAAAGCATTTTTGTAGAGATAAGAGGACATTTGGAGGTGCATTTTGCCAATATTCCTGCTTTCTATGGGTTTTTTTATGGAAGTAAGAGGACATTTGGGGGTGAATTTTACCAGTATTCCTTCCTTCTATGGGATTTTAAAGCATTCTTATGGGGGTCAAGAAGATATTTAGGAAGTTTTTTGCTAGTATTCCTGTTTTCTATTGAGTTTAAATCATTTTATGGAGGTTAAAGGACATTTGGAATGACATTTTGACAGTATTTCTTTCTTCTGTAGAGTTTTAAGGAATTTTATGGGGCTTAAAGGACATTTGGGGGAGATTTTGCAAGTATTCTTTCTTTTTTGGGGGTAGAAAGCCTTTTGGGGTTCATTTTGCAAGCATTTTTATGTGTATTTTGTTTGGAGGGGGATTAAAAGTGTATATGGAGAAATTAGGAGCATTATTATTATTATTATTATTATTATTATTGGGACATTTTCAGGACAACATTAAATATTATTATTAATATTAATAATTTTATTTCTTAGTTACAGAGTAATAAAACACATAAACATTGTAATAATATCTCCAGTGCACATATTAAAAATGTATTTCTATAAAAGATACATTGGAAAACATAGCAACACATTGACTAAAGTGAGCATAGAGGCCCAATACTTTAGGCCAGTCATGGACAAACTTCGATACTCCAGGTGTTTTGGACTTTACCTCCCAGGAATTGTGGGAGTTGAAGTCCAAAACACCTGGAGTATCGAAGTTTGCCCAAGCCTGGTGTAGATGCACCTGGTGATGCACCTGGACAGGTATTTGGTTTGGTTTACAGTGGGTCAGCGTTGCATCTCCATCAGCTATAGATTTATTTATTTACTAGCCGTCCCCTGCCACGCGTTGCTGCGGCCCACATGGGGGTTCTGTGTGGGAGGTTTGGCCCAATTCTATCATTGGTGGAGTTCAGAACTCCAGTACAACTCCAGTGTTCCTCATCATGACTAGAGATGATTGGAGTTACAATACAGGAATATCTGGAAGGATGCAGTTTGTTCCTTTGAGTCAGGAGAGTGGGGATTGAATTGAGATAGTAGGCTTCTGGATATGATGCCTGATGTTATAAGCCCCTCCATGTCATTGTATGTGGACCTCCAAATGCTGGACTACAACTCCTGTATTTCCTCATCCTGACGAGAGTTGATGGGAGTTATGAGACAGGAACATCTGGAAGGATGCAATTTGTCTGTTGAGTCAAGAGAGTGGGGTTTGGATTGAGACACAAGGCTTGCGAATAGGATGTCTAGGTTTGGAACGACTTTTAATATTTCCACAACCTCAGAATCTCAAGTGCAGTTGGGTTGCAATTCCTATAACCTCTGGTCTGCATGACAAGTAATCTAAAGTTATGAGAGTTGCCATTCAATGACATTCAAAATGGGTAGAGCACCAATCACTATTAGATAGATAGATAGATAGATAGATAGATAGGTAGATAGAGCTAACACACTCTCTCTATATATAGTTAGGCCTCTGTATCCACACACACACAAAACAAACAAACATATTAACATAGTAGTTGATGCTCTTTGGTTTTTAGTTTTTACCTGGTTTGGATGTTATGGAATGTTATTGAATGGCAACTGTCATCACTTTTGATTTTCCACCAATATAGACCGGAGTGATATCTATCTATCTATCTATCTATCTATCTATCTATCTATCTATCTAGAGAGAGAGAGAGAGAGAGAGAGAGGAGCCGTCGGTGGCACAATGGGTTAAAGCGCTGGGATGCTGAGCTTGTTGACCGAAAGGTCGCAGGATCGAATCCGGGGAGTGGGGTAGGGTTGTCAGCCCCAGCTTCTGCCAACCTAGCAGTTTGAAAACATGGAAATGTGAGTAGATCAATATGTATTGCTCCAGTGGGAAGTTAACAGCATGAAGTCATGCCGGCCACATGACCTTGGAGGTGTTTAGGGACAACGGCTTAGAAATGGAGATGAGCACCACACCCCAGAGTCAGGCACAACTGGACTTAATGTCAGGGGACAACCTTTACCATCTATCTATCTATCTATCTATCTATCTATCTATCTATCTATCTATCTATATGCTCTGTGCATAATGAGTACCTTAAAAACAAAAGAACCAATGAACAAAATCACACCAAATTTGGCAACAAAACGTCTCACAACACAAGGAGTGACCATCACTCAAAAAATTATGATTTTGTCATTTGGGAGTTGTAGTTGCTGGGATTTATAGTTCACCTACAATCAAAGAGCATTCTGAACTCCACCAACGATGGAATTGAACCAAACTTAGCACAACAGAACTCCCATGACCAACAGAAAACACTAGAAGGGTTTGGTGGGCATTGACCTTGAGTTTGAGAGTTGTAGTTCACCTACATCCAGAGAGCACTGTGGACTCAAACAATGATGGATCTGGACCAAACTTGGCATGAATGTTCCATATGCCCAAATATGAACAGAGATGAAGTATGGGGGGAAATAGACCTTGACATTTGGGAGTTGTAGTTACTAGAATTTATAGTTCACCTACAATCAAAGAGCATTCTGAAACCCTACCAACGACAGAATTGGGGCAAACTTTCCACACAGAACCCTCATACTTAAGGCCATCCAGTCCAACTCCCTTCACCAGAGCAAGAAAACATAATCAAAGCCCTCCTGACAAAGAGCCATCTAGCCATAGATATAGATAGATATATATGATTCACACACACACAGATATAGTATCATAGATTTGAAAGGGACCCCTAAAGAAGGACAATTATATGTTGCATGTTCCAGAGTAGGCAAACCAGACACTCTTCACATCAACACTGACAAAGAAACAGCAAGAAATACTGTTTACCCACAAGCAGAAAGAAATTACATATATTAGAAACCAACACTTTCTAATTACTTTATTCTACAGATCACCAGACTGGGCCACAGCAACGTGTGGCATGGGACGGCTAGTGTATCTGTGTGTGTACACACACAAACACAAACATAATAACATAGTAGTTGGTGCTCTTTAGTTTTTACCTGGTTTGGATGTTATGGGATGTTATTGAATGGCAACAGTCATCACTTTTGATTTTCCACCAATGTAGATCAGAGTAATGGGAATATATATATGGATTCTCCCGCTATGGATTCAATGCTCCTTTGGAGGTGGCCATAACATTGATGTGGCTCTCAATGAAAATGAATTCACTACTCATGCTTTTAAGGACTGGCAACTCAAAAGAGTCTTAGAGTAAATAAATCTTAAACTCACCCTAGAATCAAAAATGACTAAACTTAGGCTGTTGAACTTTGGACATGAGAAGATAGGACTCGCTATAAGGGAAAGCAATAGGAAAATGGGATGACTACATTACAGGTGGATAGATTCAAACAAGTAAGCCACTGCTACCCTGGATTTGCAAGATCTGAGTTGAATGGGGGACTTGGAAGTCCCCCATTCACAAGATCTCCATAAAACAAGCCCAACTTGATGGTATGTAACAATAACAAACTTGGTTAAGAAGATGGGAAAGAACATAATGATGTTCATGCGCAATGGAAGGAGAACCAAGGAGATGCTTCTTGTCTTGGTCACAAGGGTTGGAGAGGTGTAGGAGAAAACATTTAGGAGCTGTTATGATATTCAACTGAACTTCTGGAGAAGAAATTCACTAGGGAGTAGAACTTGTATTTGTCTGGGGCAACAAATACTACCAAGGGTGGAATGTGTTTTCCTGATGTTTTCAAGCTGTGGATGGTTGAATGATCAAGGGTCTGGAGAAATGATCAAGGGTCTGGAGATCAAGTCCTATGAGGAGCGGCTTCAAGAGCTGGGCATGTTTAGCCTGCAGAAGAGAAGGCTGAGAGGAGATATGATGAGGGCTGTGTATAAACATGGGAGGGGAAGTTATAGGGAGGATG